CTCTGGAAGGAGGCCCGGGAGACGCAGGGGGAGCGCGAGGCCGGGGTGAGTGAGAGTCCGGCCTGGTCCCAGTGCAGCAGGACTCAGTCGGGCAGTAGGGAGAGTAGGGGGGCGGCCCGCAGGGCCAGGCGGCGACTGTTCTCCCCCGCTGGGCAGCAGGACTCGGGAGCAGCCGCTGCTGCAGCTCCCACTGCCGCGGGGGGAGGAAGCGGCCAATGGCCAAGCTCAGCAGCTGCGGCTGCGGCTCTGGCGCCCGGGCCCGAACCTCCCGAGCCCGGGCCCGCTGCAGGGACCCAGCAGCGCGCATGCCGCGCCCAGCCCCTGGCCAGTCGCATCTGAAGCCCACCAACTCCAGAGCTAATATGTCACTAATACGTTACTGCATGCTTGACTCTTTGGGGCAGACACTATCTTTTCATTCTGTGTTTGTACAGCACCTATCACATTGGAGTCCTTGTCCATGTCTTGGGTAGGTAGGTGCTACCACAATACAAATAAATAATGATAATAAAGGTTTGTAGAAACTTCCCCTAGAATTTCAAAACTTAACTTCTGAAGTCAATTATAAGTGAGGTTTTATTTAAATTCATGCAAATTCTATGTATTATTTGACTATATAGTCTGAGAGGATTTTTTTCGCATTGCTGTCTTGTAGGGGTCCTGAAATGTATTCCTTTTCCTATGTGCCTTTTTCCTCCTTAGATCATAATGGGCGTGATCCTACTGTATAACTTACTTCGAGTAAGTGCATTGGTTGGTGCTGCTGTTATTGTATTGCTCGCTCCAATACAGTATTTCATAGCTACAAAGTTGGCTGAGGCGCAGAAGAGCACGCTTGTAAGTAATTTATTTTAGTGATGCCTGTGGTCCAGTAGTTAAAGCAGAGAACCAGGAATCGGGAGTTCTGGATTCTATTCCTGGTTTTTCAAATAATTTGCTGTGTAAATTTGGGTAAGCCATTTAACTTTTTTGTCCCTCAGTTTCCAGATCTGTAAAATAAGGGTAGTAATATTTGCCTACTTCACAAGTTGTTTGCAAAGTTATTTGTGATCCTCAGATGAAAGGTGCTATAGAAGAACAAAGTATTATTACTTATAGGAAACTAAGAACTATCTTTTGGGAATGTTTATTATTAATTAAATGAACCACATAATTAATTTTGACTTTTAAATTTTTATTTATTTTTGGGCTGCCAACAAATAATTTCAATGTAATACAATGGAAACTGTACAATGGTAACATTTTCAACTGTTTTTTAAGAGGTGCATTAAATACAATATATATTACACTCTTTAGCTGCTGTTACCAATACACAGAGTTACATTCTTGCTGACGTTCCTGATTACTAGAGTTCTGATCATTTGAATACCCTCTCCTCCAATATTCACCTATAACAATGACATCAAAGGCATGTTCAGTGAACGCGTTGGGGAAAGGAAGGAGAAAGAAATATCTAACTTTTAGCAGAATACTTCTGTATTGTGATTGAAGTTCTACAGAATGGGGAGTTCCTTAACAAGATAGGCACTCATGAGACCATTTATTGATGAGTTAAATTTGCATGGAAGAAATTCACTCCTGCGCTGCGGGCCAGCACAAAGCTTATGAACTACTCAGGTCTTTCTTAAGCCTTGAAAATAAGGACTTAGGCCCTGGTCCTCAAATGTATTTAGGATCTTAACTTGTATGAAAATCAGTGGAAGTTAGGAGCCTAAATACCTTTTGAGGATCTGGGGCTAGGTCCTGATTCAGCACTTCATCCCTTGTCAGCAAAACATTTAAGCACATGCTTAAATACTGTACTGAACTTGGGCATAAAGTGGTATATGCACCTTGTGCTGACCCTTTTTTACAGAGATGAATTTCACCCCATCTGAGTAGCTTGATCATTTCTCTGACTATCTATCCTTTAGATGCCATGGAGCCTATTGTTTTCTAATTCAAATGTTGTACTGTATGGAATGTCAGCAATTAATAAAAATAATAAAATATAGAAATGAAATATTAAATCATGTGAATAAGTCCGTTTGAAATAGATCACATCAACTACTGTATAACACTCCACCCAAAAGTCTCTTGCATTTCTGAATAACCTCCGTACTCAGATTGGATCAGTCCCTATTGCACACTCTCCATCAATGGGAAACAATTCTACAGTCTAATGAAGCTCATCGACTGGAAATTTATCCTAATTTTAAATTTTCTTAATGCCTAGACTGTTACCATCTCCCCCTCATATCTTAATTGTCAGTTAGCCAAGCTAAACATATCTGGGCCTGATCCTCAGTTTGATTGACCCCAGTGGAATTATGCCAATTTACACTGGCTGAGGATCTATCTTTTATACTTTTTTCAGACATAATTCCCTCCACCCCTTTGATCTGTCTTGTTCTTCTCTGAATTCCTCCCAGCTTGTTAATGTATTTTGGTAATAGTGTGCCCAAAACAGATGAACACAATATTGCAGATGAGGGGCTATTACTGAAATAAATCAATAAAATAAGCACATATTATGTGAATCTTCTGTACGCAGTCCAAAACTGGTCTTTTTGAGGCAATACCACATTGCAAACTCAAATGTAATTTTTTGTTCATTACCAATTGTCCATCTTTTTTCTTCTTCAGTATTATCACTCCAGGTTTCGTTCTCCATTTAGATACATAGGTTTCAGGTTATTTCCCCCAAGATATATTAGTTTTGATTTTTTTCAATGCAGAATCACTTTTATTTTCTTCTCATGACTTTAAAGTCTCTAAAATCATCAAGGAACATGAAATTGTATATTATTTCCGAATGTATAGTACTTAGAGGTATATACTAGGTCATTAGTAAACCCAGTTGCAATACTTTGGCTAATTTTAGAACAAAAGTGATAGAAAAAAGCATTCTTAATAAAAATAATTTAAAAATATTAATTTTGTAATTTGTAATTTCTTACTTTTTTAATGTAAAGGATTATTCTACTGAGAGATTAAAGAAAACCAATGAGATCTTGAAAGGCATTAAGTTGTTAAAGTTGTATGCCTGGGAGCACATATTTTGCACTAGCGTAGAGGAAACAAGAACCAAGGAGCTCATAAGTCTCAAAACCTTTGCACTTTACACATCTCTTTCCAGTAAGTAATTCTGTTCTAGGGGCAGTATTGTTTGTAACATAACTCTTAGATATGTATTTATCTCTCAATAGTAAATTGCTTTTGAGACTTCAGTTGAAGCAAGATGCCTGTACTTATGGTAGTGGCTATTTTGTTATGAAACAAGATGGAAAATAAAAGACATGACAAATAACACAACAGGAAGCTTGACATTGTTTGGTGGATTTTGTTACTGTTATTGTTTAACTTGTAAAAGGTTTTTTGCAACCTTAGTTATGAGATTTTACATTAATAAGTACTGAGATAACATCAGCAGGTGTGATTGGGACAGACATAAGTTAGGAACTAAAATAAATTACATTCCTTGTAATGAGGTAGGGTTGAGGGAAATGGCCCCAATATTTGTAGTAAATTGTTCTTTCAAAGCAATTTTTGGCTGTGATACATTATAATTCTGCAGTTCATATGAAAATATTTTATTTCAATTCACTAAAATGTAGAAACTATAACATTTCTTGGTTCGTTTGTTTGTGTATTTAAGACCTAAGTCAGACATGGAAGGAAATTTCTTCCTGCTAAGGAGTTTTCCTTTGGGAGTTTTAATGGATAGGAAACATTTGAGGTTGAAGTCCTCAACTAACATATTATTTAACTGACTATGCTTGGGTTTGGTATAAAGTATTGAAAAATAATATTAAGATCATTTTTGTACAGTTCAAATAGTCCAATGCATATTTCATTTCTTTCAACAGTTTTTATGAATGCAGCCATCCCAATAGCAGCTGTTCTTGCAGTAAGAAAATATTTTTCCCCTTTATCTGAAAAGAAATTAAAAACACTGTCATTGTTTATATAGGGCCTACTTTTCACAGAAACAATATGTAAATTAGTATGTCCCTGCTGGCTGCCTAGCAGTATTACACTAACAAACTCAATTCCCAATTTACAACACCTGAGATTTGGACTTGTGAAAAGGGAAGCAAACAAAAAGCAACGTTAATTTCAGTCTTCCGCAGAAACCAAACAGAATATCAAAATGTGGCTAAACTGGAAGGGGACAGACTAGTTTTGAGAATAAGTCTTATTTTGGGCTTTGTATTTTGGGGTGTTGCTGTTCCATTGTCTATGGGTGAAATTTACTCTGGGCCCAGTACAAGGCCTAGACAATTTAAATCATCAAAATAAGTCATGTTTGGACTTAAGTGGGACATAAGTTTGCACTAGCCCTTTGCACAAAAATGAATTTCATGACTAATGCACTGGGGAAATACCTTTACCCTTCATGCTGGGCAGTAAGAAATGTTTATACACCAAACATTGAGGTCCTTATTCAGTTTGTACTCAGCCTCTACTCAGGCAAAATATTTCGATAGGTGTTTTTCCCCCTGTTTTTGAGCCAGCCTGTGTAGCCTGACATCCTTTTCACTAATATTCCCTTGTTTTGATGTGACAGACCTTTGTGACCTATGAATATCAAAATGAGGCGACACTGCAGCCATACCAGGCCTTTGCATCACTGTCGTTGTTTCACATCCTGGTCACACCGCTGTTCCTGCTCTCCACCGTGGTTAGATTTGCAGTCAAGGCCGTTATAAGGTATGGTTGAAACTATAATAAAGAACAGAATTATCAGACATATATATGAACATGCTTTGTTGGGGAAGAGTCAACATGGCTTTAGTAAAGGGAAATCATGCCTCACCAATCTATTTAAATTCTTTGGGGGGTCAACAAGCATGTGGACAAGGTTGATCCAGTGGATGTAGTGTACTTGGACTTTCAGAAAGCCTTTGACAAGATCCCTCACCAAAAGCTCTTAAGCAAAGTAAGCAGTCATGGGGTAAGAGGGAAGGTCCTCTCGTGGATCAATAACTGGTTAAAAGACAGGAAATAAAGGGTAGGAATAAATGGTCAGTTTTTGAAATGGAGAGAGGTAAATAGCAGGGTCCCCCAAGGGGCTGTACTGGGACCAGTACTGTTCAACATAGTCATAAATGATCTGGAAAAGGGGGTAAACAGTGAGGTGGCAAAATTTGCAGATGATACAATATTACTGAAGGTAGTTAAGTCCAAAGCAGACTGCAAAGAGTTACAAAAGAATCTCACAAAACTGGGTGATTGGGTGACAAAATGGCAGATGAAATTTAGTGTTGATAAATCCAAAGTAATGCACATTAGAAAACATAATCCCAACTATACATACAAAAAAGATGGGGTCTAAATTATCTGTTACCACTCACGAAAGAAATCTTGGCGTCACTGTGGATAGTTCTCTGAAAACATCTGCTCAATGTGCAGCAGCAATCAAAAAAGCGAACAGAATGTAAGAAACCATTAGGAAAGGGATAGATAATAATAAGAAAAGATATAATGCCACTGTATAAAGCCGTGGTATGCCCACACCTTGAATACTGCATGCAGTTCTGGTTGCCCCATCTCAAAAAAGATGTATTAGAAATGGAAAAGGTTCAGAGAAGGGCAACAAAAATTATTAGGGATATAACATCTTCTGTATGAGGAAAGATTAAAAAGACTGGGACTTTTAAGCTTGGAAAAGAGATGATTAGAAGGGGATATGATAGAGGTCTATAAAATCATGAACATTGTGGATAACGTGAATAAGGAAGTATTATTTACCCTTTCACATAACACAAGAACCAGGGGTCACCTGATGAAAATAGGCAGCAGGTTTAAAACTAACAGAAGGAAGTACTTCTTCACACAACACACAGTCAACCCATGGAGCTAATTGTGAGGGGATGTTGTGAAGGCCAAAAGTGTAACTGGGTTCAAAAAATAATTAGATAAGTTCATGAAAGATGGCTCCATCAGTGGCTATTAGCCAAGACGGTCAGAGATGCAACCCCATGCTCTGTGTGTTCCTAAACCTCTGACTGCCAGGTGCTGGGATTGGATGACAGAGGATAATTGCCCTGTTCTGTTCATTCCCTCTGAAGCTTCTAGTATAGGCCACTGACAGAAGACAGGATACTGGGCTAGATGGACCATTGATCTGACCCAGTATGGCCATTTTTATGTTCTTATATTAAAGAGATCTCTTTATACTTCTCTGAGAAATAACAACGGTCAATGATGGGATATTAAAAGTTACTACAGAGAACTTTTTCCAGAGGGTCTGGCTAGAGAACCTTGCCTGCATGCTCGGGGTTCAGCTGATCGCCATATTTGGGGTTGGGAAGGAATTTTCCTCCAGGGTAGATTGGCAGAGGCCCTGGAGGTTTTTCGCCTTCCTCCGCAGCATGGGGCAGGGGTCGCTTGCTGGAGGATTCTCTGAGATTTGAAGTCTCTAGATCATGATTTGGGGACTTCAACAGCTGAGTCAAGGGAGGGAATTATTCCAGGAGTGGGTGGGTCAGCTTTTGTGGCCTGCATCATGCGGGAGGTCAGACTAGATGATCATAATGGTCCCTTCTGACCTTAGAGTCTATGAGTCTATGAGAAAGAGACAGGATGAAGGGGACTTAACTTGGTTATTCAAAATGATGAAAAGGCATAAAGAAAAAAGACCAGACACTCCATTTTACTGCATCATATGAGAACAAGGAAATGGTCAATAAAGTTAATGGCTGGAAAATTATTATTGAGGCAAATCTTGAAGTCCTTACTCCAGGCCAGACTGTCCTGACTTGGATTGTAGCTCATATCTTCCTTCCTAGCCTCACCCATCATGCACTGGTCAGCCACAATTACTCCCAGATGGCTAGCAACACTAGAAGGGGAAGAGAGGGAGAAGCTGGGGGGTAAACAAAGTGATGGCTATCTAACAGGTCTGGCCCTTGACATCAGGGAGAGCAGCCTACTCCTATTTCTTCCCAACGCAAGGGGTGGAATAGTGACTGTGCTTTATGATGGAATTCTATCCATACCCAGGACCGGCTCTAGGCACCAGCAAAGCAAGCACGTGCTTGGGGCGGCACAATACCAGGGGCAGCATTCCAGCCACAGTTGCACTCTCGGAGCTTGGAGAGGCAAAAAACCTAGAGCTGGCCCTGTCCATAACACTGGGTCTCTTTTTGGAAAGGACCATTGGCATGAACAGGGGGCAATAGCTCATCTGGAAAGCCATTCTAATCATTAATGTTACACCAGGGATAGCAATGGAGTCACTCCTGATGTACACTGGTATGAGAGGAGAATCAGACCCAAAGTGGGCACCAAGGAATTGGATAGCTCATCAGGGAACGATGCACTTGTGTCTGCTCTGAGTTCTGTGAAAAGGTTGTGACTTTGAGGAGATTGTCAAGTATCAGAGGGGTAGCCGTGTTAGTCTGGATCTGTAAAAAACAACAAAGAGTCCGGTGGCACCTTATAGACTAACAGACATATTGGAGCATAAGCTTTCGTGGGTGAATACCCACTTCGTAAGACGCAGTGGGTATTCATCTGACGAAGTGGGTATTCACCCATGAAAGCTTATGCTCCAATACGTCTATTAGTCTATAAGGTGCCACAGGACTCTTTGTTGCTTTTTGAGGGGATTGTGATGCTGAGGCTGCACTCTGGGTTCCCACTCCCAAATTACAGGAAAGAGACGGAGGAGAGGGAGGCTTGGCCTGCCAGACTGCCTGGAGAAGCCTTGGTGGGGTTATAGAGTAGCATGGAAGAACAGTGGGGAAGGTGGAAGGAGAGGGAGTGTAACAGTTCAGGGCAACTGCACCTGTATTTCCCCCTCTATGGTCCACCAAGGGCACCCACTCTCAGGCTTCCGGCTCTACAGGCAGCTGTCATCTCTCTTGGGCGGAGATATGTGTGTTACTCCCTCCTGACCAGGGTATTTCCAGGCTGCACAGTTCCCTACCTACACTGTGAATTCCCCAATAAGTCAGACAGCCTAAGCAGGTCTGCCTTGCTTTTCTTCTCAGAATCTATAAGCAGTGTAATTGCCCACAGTTACAAGGTAACACAGCTTTTTCAAAGCAAGAACATTTATTCTGGAGATGAAAGCATTACAGAGAAAATATATTAAAAAGAACCTACAAACATGCGAATAAGCTTACCAGAAATCACTCCAGTTCCAACAAGGGCTCCAGCCCTTCATAGCCCACCAGACTGTTTCTCTGTGGTTACAAGTTCCTGACGGCATTGGCTCAGAACAAGCACTCCCATGAATCTGTGGGTTACTCCTTTATACACTTTGGCCCTCTGATCTTGTCCTCATTTAACTGGTGATCAGCAGACAAAGGTCCCCTCCTCAGGGTGAAGATTCAAAAGGCTGAGTTCTTGCATAACCAAGGGGTACATTTGCAAACAACTCCTAGAGATTTCCTGGGAAACCCACTTAACTTGAAAAGTTCATTCTTGTCCAACCCATTGTTTCAAATAGTCCTTTGAAGCTCTTAACACTTCTCATTATATTAGCCATGTCTTCCCCATAGAGGCATTACATACAATCCCACAATAATACATAAACATTTGCATTTTTCATACAAAGAACTCCTAAAATAGTTAAACTTAATTCAATACAAATGTTGGCATACTGTGGGGATATGTTTCACTTAATTCAATGAGGTTTGTCCAGGATATAACAGGAAATTGCCATATGCGCTACAGGGAGAAGCACTAGTGGAAAATCATAGAAGTCACAAAATCTGTGATTTTATCAAACTTTGCCATGATTCAAGTATGACATTTCCCAAAATATATAGCCTGACAAAACAGCGCCCCTAGTGGTGGGTGACTGAGCAATTCCTCTCTAGTTTGCTGGTGAAGAGACTGAAATGTATTGTCCTCTGTTGATTCTGCAGTGGCCTGTGTGAAAGGAATTGTAGTTACGCAGGTGTACGTATCATAAAACAACCACCACAGCTGGCACAAATTGACACCCTTGCTGACAGAGATGCCATGCACTGACAGGATCTGAAAACTGAGCTAAACTTCCCACCCTCATACATAGTCCCTCCAAGTCTAGATTGAGGCACTCTGGCAAAGTATTGTATTGTTGCTGCTGCCTCTGTTTGGTGGATAACAATAATAACAAACAACAAACCCCAGGACATTAGTCTTCTGAGCCCTCCCTCACCATTCACCAGCACTCTGTTCACTAACAAATTAAATAATCCGTGTTTTGTTTTTGTTGAAGAGGGAGCAGGGACACATCAGAGGTTTTTCCTGGGTTTAAAATGATTTCGGACTCATGGAAAAATCTCATGCCCCTTTATAAATCACTCTAGCCTCCCCATCACTCCTCCTCCCTCTGTGCTATGTTTAGTGCTGTCCTAATATCCCCATGGTGTGTGTGTTTCATTTACTATCCTTAGCCACCCCAAAGGACGTTATTGAAAGACCCTATTTGCCAAAACAAACCTCATCCATTGGAAAATTTATTTCCTATCATCTTTCTCCCATGAACCTAGAAACTCCCAAGTGCAGAGGCACGAGGAATGTGTGCTTGGCCACTCCCCCATCATCAATCATATAAATTGATAGGATTAAGCGCTTGTCCCTAATATGAATAAGTGCTTATACTTTGGCCAGACCAGTTATTTCACTTTAAGAATTAGCATAGCTCTGGTGGCAGAAGAGTTTTTGACTGTGGCTGAAATAAATCTTTGACCCATGCCTTCTAAGGCAGTAGGTTAATGTCATTGCATGTTCCTTTAGTGCATTCGCATAATAAGAGTTACATTGATTAGTGTGTCCATTCCTTATGGAGTTGGCTCAGCTTCTTCCCACTGCCTGTTGAAGAGGCTCCTGTCACACTGTGTGGTGATAAACTCTGGATTTGGATATACTGTAAAGGGCTTTTCATAGCCACGCTTCTCTCACTAGTTTGTTGGGCTTTCCCCTTTGCTCCATGCCCCTGGGGTGAAGTGAAGACTGAGGCAGCCCCAAAAGGCTAATGAGTAACTGTGCAGATTTTTTTTTTAAAGAATAACGTAGCAAGAATAGCATGCGTTCTGCAAGCCACAGAGTTCTTGCTGGTGGATTGCAGAGAGCTGGTTAGTCACATGGTGTCAGCTCTTCTCCTCATTTCCAGTTGCTCTTATTGCAATAAAATAAAGTTTGAAAATGCATTAACTACTTTCATACGGTTCTTTTTTCCATGCAAATAATTGCCACAAGGCTGCTATGGAATCCAAAAGGGAGTGGAGGTAGTCCATGCAATCATGAAGTTTGAGTATTCTGATCCGGTGATCGGAGCACAGATCATTACAAGTTTACCCAAGGAAATCTGGCATTCACTCATTGTCTTTTTTTTTTAAGCGTACAGAAGCTGAATGAATTTCTCATAAGTGATGAGATTGGAGATGACAGCTGGAGAAGTGCAGAAAGCTCTCTGACCTATGAATCCTGTAAGAAGCATACAGGACTTGTAAGTTCTCTTTTCTGACACAGCAGCTCAAAAAGTGGGAGACAACATGGCCAACTGGAGTGGCTGCTGACCTGGGACTCAGGAGACCTGGGTTTTGAGCCTGGCTTTGCCACTCACCAACTATCTGACTTGGGGAAGTCATTTTATCTCTCTGTGCTTCCAGTTTCTTTCTATCCTTTGCCTATCTTGCCTGTTTAGGGTGTGAGCTCCTCAGGACATTATGTGTTTTTACAGCAGGGCAGGTCCCTGCTCTTACTTAAGCATTAATAAAAAAGAAAAACATTAAGAAATGACTTGATTGATGTAGCATTCAGACTTGGCCCTCTCAGTTTTAGTTTATTGTTCTAAATATCCCATGTAGCCTTCATATTGTTACAAGTATTGCATTCTTTCTTTACTTTACCACCCATGATGTGCCAGATTCTTTCCAGACATTCAAGTAGGGTCAGTCACTGCTTCGAGGAGCTCACAATCTAAAGACAGACAAAAATTATGGGGGGAGGGAGAGGAAAGAATAAGCAATGTATGTAGAAGTCAGATTGATTCTCTGTAAGCAGCCCAGCAAAAGTGGGTCTTTAAGAGGGACTGAAACAGAGTAGGAGCTTTGCGGACAAGCTCAGGAAGGTTGTACCATGCCTAAATGGTCATGTGGAAGAAGTTACAGAGGTGACTGAGAAGCTAAGCTGACAAATGGGAGGGTGATGCTTGGTAGATTTGAAGAGGACCAGGAGCAACACTGAATTTAACAAAGAAGGATAAGGAGGGATGGGGCAGAATTATGTAGAGCACTGCAGATGCTGACAAGAAGTTTAAATTAGATAGTATAAAAAATGGGGGGATTTGAAGAGGCTCCACTGACTTCAGAGGCAGTTGAGGGCATTCAGCCCCTTGTGAGAGACACTTAGCTCCTCACAGTGTTGTGCCTTTGGGTACTTCTTCACTACCCGCCGTATCGATTTATCCGGGATCGATATATCGCGTCTCGTTAAGACGTGATATATCGATCCCCGAACGCGCTCACCGTTGACTCCGGAACTCCCCCAGAGCGAGCGGCGGTAGTGCAGTCAACGGGGGAGCCGCGGCCATTGATCCCGCGCCGTCTGGACCCCAGGTAATTCGATCCAAGATACTTCGCGAATAGCGTAGCTGAAGTTGTGTATCTTGGATTGATCCCCCCCACCCCCCCCGCCCGCCCAGCCCTTTGTTACAACACATGTTGAAATGCCCTGTTACTATTCACATGTTCTTCTCTTGACCTAGATTGGTAGGAGGGAAGGGAACAGGCTATTTTGTTTCAAAGGAACCTGAATGTTGTCATCTTATGAGAATTTCAACTTCTCTTCTTTCTGTGCTTTTTCATGTAGCATACCAAAGCCATAAACAGGAAACAGCCCTTAAGGCATCAGCTGGACAGCTATGAGCAGCCGCCGAGGAGACAGCCACGTCCCTTTGAGACAGATGATATTGCAATCAAGGTAGTTTGAATTCATGGATTCATTCTTCACATGGAGGGGAGCCTCATGATCTGGAGTAAACTGGTAACAAAGTGCCCAAATCCTGCAGTCCTTCCAAAAGCAAATCTTTCACTGCAAGATCAGGTGTAAAATACTTGGATAAAAGTGTGCTCAAAATACACTTACAACAGGCTATTTGCTGGAAATCATCAGTTCCCTTTAATGCCTCTATTTTTTCTCAGTAGCAAGTGATATTGTGATTCTGAAAGAACAAGAACCACATGATCAAATATACTATAGGTTCCTCTTTTAGTTCCCCCTGCTAGCCCACTCCCAGACTCAAAGCTTTTGTACCATAAGGTCATTTTTCACATTCATTGCTGATGTGGGTAAATTTTTTGTCTGAACATGCACTAACTGTTCCCACAGGTTCTGACTAGATTCAGACTAAATAGATGCACAGGTTTCAAACACGCCCTTTGATCCAAGTTCTGCCTATGGATGCCCTTCTTGGGTGAGGGAGAATAGCCCATAGCCCTGTTAACTTCAAAGGGAGTGTACAAATCCAAAGACAAAATATGGCCCCAGTGTCTACTTTTTTTGTCCTCTATAAACCTTGTGAGTATCCTGTTTATACTCTGTGTGCTCCATCTCTTCCCTTGATATAATGCTGCATGGATTTTTCTCTGCAAGAGGTGATTGGGCCCATGAGTTTTACCTGGAGACTGTCCCTTTATTAAAGGGATTTTCATATAATATATGCACGAGTTGTTTTTCCTTCATAATCTTTGCGTTGTTTTGCCATCTCCCCTTATTTGACTTGCACTTTTTCATGGGACCATACTTGAATATGTTTTATCACATTTTTTAAAGTGATCTTTTCCTTTTAATCCAGAACTAACAATTGTAAATTATTTATTGAGGTGTTTGCACTTCTAATATATGAAATTATTTTGTAGGTTACCAATGGATATTTTTCATGGGGAAGTGGCTTAGCCACATTATCCAATATAAACATCAGGATCCCAACAGGTAGGATTAATGTGCACCTTAAATGCTAACCATGTGAAACTGTGTATTTGCTGTAATGACCATTCCTTGCATACATAGTCCAAAGCCCAAAGAAACATAGGATTGGAAGGGACCTCGTGGGTCATCGAGTCCAGTCTCCTGCCATCACAGGCAACTTTGTCATATGATCACATTAATAAATTTATCAAGGTCCATCTTGGAACAAGTTAGGTTGTGTGCCCCCACTACTCCACCCAAAAAATAAACGTGAACAGATTGGTGTCAAGGTAACACCGACAGCCCCCAGTTGTCAGCGTGCAGGGTTGAACCTAGGACCTCTGGAGCTTAGTGCATGCGCGTGTACTGGATGAGCTAAAAGCCAATTGCTTGTTAGCCAGCACTGTAGAGCAGACTCATTAATTGCTCTCTAAGTGGTCTTGGTGCCACTAGGTGGGACAGAACACCACACCCAGAAGGTGTGTGTGTTACCTCAAGAAATATAAAGAGAAGGATGTAAAAGGTTAAGAAATCTAGTTCATGGAACTATATCATAACTCCAAAGAACGAAAAAATAATGGATAGAAATAAAAATGTCCACACCGGGTCAGACCAATGATCCATCTAGCCCAGTATCTTGTGTTCTAACAGTGGCCAATGCCAGATGATTCAAAGGAAATGAATAGACCAGGGCAATCATCAAGTGATCCATCCCCTATCGTCCAGTCCCAACATCTGACAGTCAGTGGCATTGGGACACCCAGAGCATGGGATTGCATCCCTGACCATCTTGGCTAATAGACACTGATGGACCTACCCTCCATGAACTTACCTAATTCCTTTTTGAACTCAGTTATAGTTTTGGCCATCACAATATCCGCTGGCAATGAATTCCACAGGGTAACTGTTCATTATGTGAAGAAGCACTTCCTTGTGTTTGTTTGAAACATATGGCTAATAATGAAAAAAATTGCAAGTTTCAAAAGAATAGGTCTACTTGGCCATCAGTGCATGTGTATATAAAAAAAACAGACAACACCATATCTAAGGCTAGTACTGAGAGGAATTTTAAACAGGCTAATCACACAAAATGATAGTTATTAAAAAGTGCCAGAGGTGTTAAAATCCCCTCTCCCCCCCACACACACAATTTGGCAAGGCAAACCCACATAGGAAACTTGGGGTATTGTTATTAATTTTAATAATTATTACTATAAAACTTTGGTTCCCAAGATTGGTCTCTCAATAAATCACTCAGTGTTGTTTTTTTTAATATATATATTCCAGTAGGTTTATACATTACACTTACATCATGGAGATACTGTATGCCTGAACCTTTTCTTTCAAAATTAGCTCACAGGTGGATACACACAAAATTTCCATTCACGGAATATAAAGGGTAGCAACAACTGCAGCAAGCTATTTTTAATTTTTAACTGGATTAGTGTTCTATCATTTGGTTCTCCTTTATTTGGTTTATGATTATTATAGGTCAGATGACAATGATTGTGGGTCAAGTTGGCTGTGGGAAGTCTTCACTTCTTCTGGCTATACTTGGTGAGATGCAGACTCTGGAAGGAAAAGTTCTCTGGAACAAGTAAGTTTCCAATAGCTTCTAATTGCTGTTTTAATTTTAAGCACCAACACCTCATAATCAGAAATGTAGAACATGTTAAATCATCATCCAAAATCCTCCCTGCAAGCCTTTACCAGTACATTCACACCAGATCTATTGTGATGCAGCTGGTGATGTTTCATTTGTGACAGAAAGTGAGAGCTTGAGCTGGGCAAATAATTGATTTTTCAGTTCAATGGCAGTTCTGAAATTTTTTTAAAAAAATGCTTTGGGTTGAACCAAATCTGAAATATTTCAGCATTTTTGGTGAATTGAGAAAGCCTGTTTTGGGTCTGTTCCAGAGTGTGAATTTGAACCTAGGTCTCCTATATCCCACCTCAGTGCCCTCACCACTGGGCTAAATATTATTTGGGGTACTGGGGAGAGAGAAAGGGAAGGAGACACAGCAACCAGCACCACCAGCACCACCTCTATCACCACCCCTCTTCCTTCTCCAACCATTTTGTGAAAGGCTGAAACTATTCATGTCAGATTCACAAATAGTCTTGGGCTGACCAAAACTGTATTTTTCATCAAATAAGCTCTTAGTCTGAAAAATTCACCCCGCCCCAGTGGTAGATTTACAGCATGGTGCTTGAAGGAAGGGATGGAAAGGGAATCTGAATATAGTTAAAACCAGTTGAGTAGTTAGTCTCAAATACACTGACCTTATTTTATGACCTAAATGGAAAGAATCGATTACTCTATGCATGGGCGTCGGGTATAGTAGGCCAGGGAATGCTAAGCCTCCCCAAACCCAAGCCGTGGCCCTGCCCACACTCCACCCCAAGTCCCCGTCCTTACTCCACTTCTCCCCAGAAGCCAGTGGGGGCTCAGCTTGGGCCCATGACCCGGAGCTTAGGGCTCAGCTGGCCAGCAACTCGGGGCAGTTCAGGCCACAGTCAGAGTCTCGGGGCTATTCTGGCTCCAGGCGAGGGGGAGTGGGTTAGAGGCGGGGCCTCAGTTGTGTGAGGGGGAGTAAGGCTGGGGCCTCGGGTGGGGGGGCAGAGGGCTAGCCTCTGTGAATGAGGGGTTCACCCACTGCCCATGACTCTAAGTGTAAAACATGTGCTATGCAGTACAGTGTAATGCATCTGGGGTGAAATCCTGGCTCCACCGAAGCCAATGGGAATTTTGCCATTGACTTCAGTGGAGTCAGGATTTCACCGCTGGTGTGTGATCTTCATCCGCTGAGCATTCTTTCCATGTCCATTCCATCTCAGACTTGTCATGATGCAGGTACATTGGTCTATAATTTGCCTTAGCAAACAGTGACACCAGTGGCAGTAGCATTGCTTCAGACATTTTCAAAACTTTTTTACATTTTTGTAGCTTTGTATTACTAGGGGTTGATGCGTTTTTTGAAAATTCAAAATTTCAGTGAATTTTTTTTGACCGGCTCCGCTTATTTGTTTCTCCATCCTGTGGCTGTAGTGGTTGTTGATGTATAGGACCAACTTTGTGGTGTATTTGAATTGTTTATCACACCAAAAAGTTGGAATACACCTTAAGGTGAGTACCACTTATGGCTTGAAACAGATCTGAATAGACACAAATTGTAAGAAAGTTCAGATCCTGATTTGGATCCAAAATTTGTGGATGGCCTTGTCATTTTAAAATAGGCTGATTCAAAACCCTGGATCCAGTCATACTAAGACGTTGGAAAAATTTGGAGAAAGCGCTGGACATAAAGTTTGTGTCTCTGGACCATCTTTATTTTTAACTAATAATCAAATATCTTCTTATAGTACGGGATATGCATTTATATACTGACTACTGATCTTATCTTCAAACGGAGAAAAAAGATGTGAACTGCATTCATCGTTTGACACTTTGAAATGACATCATGCTTTGGAAGTATGTTTCATCAGATGGCTTTGCTGACTAGTAATGTTTCACACAGTGCTACTCAAACCTATGAAATGGTTATGAAAAAATTCCTCTATCCCCACCAAAGAAAACAAGGATAAATGAAAGGGATGGGGTATTTCAAAAAGCTAAAGAACAAAGCCATATTCTAGTTTTGGATTAATGTCTAAACCTAAGTAGGTTGATCTTTACAATTTTCACATTACCGTGCTACAGGTAGCATGTAGAGGAGGGCATGCCAAAAATCTCATTGAATCTGATTTGTTCAAGGACCTGTGCTGAGCACCAGCACAGAGTAAGTAGAGGATGATATTCCTGGTTGGATTTTTTGGAATTCACATCTATGGAAGCAGGATGAGATACCCACTCCAGAGGGGAAAGTAAGCTGGTATGGTCTGGTACGGTGTACCGGCAAGAGTGGCGGCCGGAGCCCTGGGCCCTTTAAATCACTGCCAGAGCCCCAGGATAGCAGCGGCAGCCGGGAGCCCTCGGGTTCCAGCAGTGATTTAAAGGGCCCGGGGATTTAAAGGCCCCGCCCCTTCCGCCCGAGGCCCTACCCCTTCTGCCCAAGCCCCCCACACACACACCTTGTTCAGGACCCCAGCCCTGTGTACCGGTAAGTCCCTTAAGTTGCTTTCACCCCTGTCCACATCCCTTGTGTGTAATTGAATGGGGGGGCTCTGTACTAGCTGAGAAGAGGCAACTGAGGAGAAAGCTGCTGGGAGAGGCTGGGGGGCCCTACAGTGGACCCACAGTCATGCAGAACTAGTGTCTGAGAATCCCGGTATAGGGGGCTCTGTAGGATAGCAGCCACTCTTGCAGCTCCTAGTTTGGGAAGGTGGATGTGGAGAGGATGTGCTGCAACCCACTTCATGGCCTGTGATTTTAGAGATGAATTCTGTTCTCCCAACTCTCCCACCCAAAGCTCATGTCCTTGGGTTTTGTCTGTGGAAGGAGGGATGAATTTCACCCACAGTGATCAAAATGGCATGGCCCGTTCTTTGAATATTTATCTGTTTGATCATTTTCCCAAAAAGCAGCTTTTTCAAGCTCAATAGTTTTCTTCTTCCTGCCCATGTGTAGCAGAAGCCGTACTAGCCCACTGGGGGCTGTAAGCAGAAATATTCCCCCCCCCAACACATAATAAAAGGTGAATGGGGCCCCCTTGAGCTGCTCAGAGCTCTAAGCAATTGCTTAGTCTGCTTATGCCTAGAACCTGCTCTGATGTGTGGCATTGGTTTGGTTCCATAGTTGTGTGTCACTGTTTGCTGTGCTAACACACATGATCTCGCTGGAATAATCGGTATAGTTAGAACCCATGGAAGAATAACTTTTGTTAAAGGAAATAGAAGTAAAGAGTTGGGTGTCAATTAGAATACGTGACCTACAGTAATAACACTAGTCACCATTTATTTATTTAAAACATTTAAGGAGGATATTCCTTTGAGATGAGTCATTTCATTTGTAAGGGGTGGGTAAAAAGAGGCAGCAATTCATATTTACATCATTCCAGTCACCATCTTCAAAAGCGTCATCTTATAAACATTCTGATACACTATGTAAATCTCTAGACAGCAAAGTTAAATCATACCATGTGAGTTGCAATTCTTACTGATAACAAGCAAGCTCTACAATACTGCATCTCTAGATGAGCCAACTTTAATCTCGGTTTGGCAATCTTCAAAAAGTTGTTATTTCATCTTTGCACCCACTCCTGAGAGGTGCTGGGCACCTGTAACTTCCTTTTGATGCTACTGACTTGGAATGCAGATGCTCAGTTCTTTTTAGGACTGGTCCCTAAAGTTGTTACTCTTTCCAAGAGTTGTAACTTTTGAAATAGCAGTGAAGATGAATGGATAAGTAAACCATCACCAACACATTTTGCCCAGGGGGAAGAAAAAGAAAAAGTTCAGAAAAGGGCAACTAAAATGATTAGGGGTTTGGAACAGGTCCCATATGAGGAGAGATTAAAGAGGCTAGGGCTTTTCAGCTTGGAAAAGAGGAGACTAAGGGGGGATATGATAGAGGTCTATGAAATCATGAGTGATGTAGAGAAAGTGAATAAGGAAAAGTTATTTACTTGTTCCCATAATATAAGAACTAGGGGCCACCAAATGAAATTAATGGGCAGCAGGTTTAAAACAAATAAAAGGAAGTTCTTCACACAGTGCACAATCAACCCATGGAACTCCTTGCCTGAGGAGGTTGTGAAAGCTAGGACTATAACAGGGTTTAAAAGAGAACTAGATAAATTCATGGAGGTTAAGTCCGTTAATGGCTATTAGCCAGGATGGGTAAGGAATGGTGTCCCTAGCCTCTGGCAGAGGGTGGAGATGGAT